GCATAAATCAGCATGCCAAAGCCGAATTGGTTCAAATGTTTACGGCATATTCTATGCCTGTATTACTATACTTTGCGTGTATTAATCTGGTGGATGAATTGTCAAACATAATATAATTTATTTTGAAATGATTCATAGAAAGTTTGATAATGTAACGCTTTACTTATAAATACGTTTTAACTTGGGTACGTTTCTGTATTCAAAGGTGTGTTTTGATTTGGGTAGATTTCTGCAATCTAAGGTATGTTTTGACTTGGGTAGGTTTTTATATTCAAAGACGTGTTTTGACTTGGGTAGGTTTCTGTATTCAAAGGTGTGTTTTGACTTGGGTAGGTTTCTGTATTCAAAGGTGTGTTTTGACTTGGGTAGGTTTCTGTATTCAAAGGTGTGTTTTGACTTGGGTAGGTTTTGACTGTAAATTAACACTATTACCATGCCTCGATTCATGTACTTTTTCCCCTGCCATGTGCAAAACCAATTGCACTTTGCTTACCAACATACAGCAGGTCACAATTGGTAAATCGTCATACATATAAATCTAACCATCAGTAACTAGTCTTTCACATTTTTAAAATGCAAAACTGCTATATTATTTAGCTTCATCTAAATATAGAATTAATGTCTTCCTGGTAGCACACACATCTTGTGTAAAGTCTTCTGATAACCGATGAGCTACATCCTTTCCAAGTTTTTTTTGGCTTTCGCAGCAAGGTTTCTTCGTACCTATGATTATTAATTTTGGTAAGTATGGGTTGGTCGGGCTTATTGTCTCTAGAGGACAATCATGAAAATGTTCTATCTCAATATTCTATACATGCAGTAGATCAAGTTTGTCCTGGATGACCTACCTGGACTCAGGCCTGTCCCAGTTTTCGTCATCGCGGCCTTGAATTCCATAGAAAGACCAACTGTTTTGGCAAGAATGTGCTTCACTTTTGTGAAATTGGCTCTCCATTGCTTTGATATTATCTTTCAGAGCTTTAGTTTCAAATTTTAGATTCTCGTTGTTTTATTTAAGTGCATCAATCTCAACCTTCAAATTAGTAGTAATATTATTTTCAAGCTGTCACATACAGCATTCTTTTGTCAAGACAATGAACTAAGGCTGGTCAAGACAATGTACTAAGGCTGGCCAAGTCAATATCCTAAGGTTTAGATTAGCACGGGATCATAATAGCCTTTTGGCACGGCACTGATATATTCTGGAAGAGCATGAGCTATGATGAGTGTGATAAGACCTTGTCCCCGTACCTGACATAGTTCTCAATAGATAGTGCAAATACAAGACAAGTTACCGACAACTAGTTAATTCTTTACCGTCATTTAGTTATTACAAGTGTCCAACCATATCTCTTTAAATTTGCCTATCATGGATTAAAAATAACTCCAACTTATTCGGGCATAAACAATATCTCAATCATGACTCATAAGATTTAATTAACATATAACTAGTTGTTGCAATGTCAACGACAATGGAAATAAATCACCCTCCCTCCCACCGCAAAAACACACGTATACACACAATTTGTTGTTAAAACAGGCATTCAATTTATTGGTAATTTTTGTTATATAGTAATTTTTAATCCTATTTTGTGATGATAGAAACGTGTTATATTTATTTATATTACCATTGTTCTTAATTACAATATCAATTTAAAGCAATTTAAATCATGGTTGCTAAGAATAAAGGAGGTTAATGAAAAACAGCATGCAATTAATCTGTTACCATGGTTAAAATCATACATTAATTTTAAAACGAAAATGCTTCCTAATGTTCAAGAAATATGGCTACATAAATCAGTTAGAAAAAAGTGCTCGTCTAGTAAACTAGAAATCAATGGTTTAAATATATCATTTGCAGTGCCGGATTATCCATTTAGCTCTCTATGCACGTGCTTAGTACAGGTGCACCAGAAAAATTCAAATTAATTGCTGATGAATGAATTATAGACCATTTCGATCTGTATGCACTAGTATTTTGATTTTGAACGATGGTAACTTAGGCATTTTCCCACCTTTGTAGTTTCTAATTTTTTGTTTGTTTTGAGTTTCACATTTTGTAAGAAGGGGATGGGGGAGCACCGTAATATTTTCAATGCTTAGGGCTCTGAAAGTCCTAATCCGGTACTGACCCTGAGTCTTCATTAGAAGATTCAGTAGTTTTGGATTCTTGTTCAGGTAACTCCAATAATCTACAGTCCATGATATTCGAATTCGTAGAACGAGTGTTCGACTCCCAACTAATCTTTCACGTTATCATGTGAGTAGTTTGAATCACCTATATCCGTTTTATTTCTCTTTCCACTGAATACTTCAATCCGAAAATCTCAAGTTTGTTTTGCATATTAAACAATATTTAAAAAAGAGATTAAAGATTTCAAACTTGCTTTACTAACTGATTTTGAGTTTGCAGGATTTACATTTTAGACATCTTTTGATTTGTAGGTCTAGGATTTGAACTCGTATGGCAGTCATTTTAGGCCCATTGGATCTAGTGTTACAAATCGCTTGAGAAACAATACTGGCGATATAGTAAAATCCTAATTTAAGCACCACTTTAGTTTGTTTGAAGAAAATTATTATTTCTTCGATGATTAGAAAACTTCTGTTTCTAAATTCTATCAGGGATACGCTCGTGACGTTTAGAATGCGACCTGATATGACATTGCTAACTGAAACAACTATCGTGAGGTCCGAAGCACACTAAAATTATTGCGATTATAGAAAAATTGCTAGTGAGTGAATCAGTGATTGAAATTTAATTAGACAATATTTGAATTCAAGTGCCGGAATAAAAAAAGATGCTGTTATAACGAAAATAGAATAAAATCAACTCAAGTACAACTCTCGACATGAAATGTCCTTCTTTTAATTTGGCAAAATACGTGCACCTAGATAAAAAGATATAATACTAATTAGCTCAAAATGATTTATTTCTCGTGTGTAGTTTTTAATTAAAAAAACCAAACACAATTCAAAACAATTATTCCTGTCACCTTTAATATTAGCGATCGTTTATAAGTTAGCTGGACGTACTGTCAATCTGATTAAAATCAGATCTCCACTGTCCTACGTGATGATCTGACATCGACTCTCTGGGATCATGATCTGATGATCTTTCAGTTATCAAGTGGAAATGCAACTTTTAGTCATTTGATAGTTAATCAAATCATTCGGTAGGTACTGATGCATTTCATACTGCGGTCTCTCATAAGGCTCATCTAATTAGCTGATAAAATTATTAGCAATTATGCTAATAACATAGGTCACCAGAACATGATCCCTAAACGGTCTCTGTTAGATCTTCACTTAGGGACAGTGGAGATATAAATTTAATCAGATTGACAGCATATGTAGCTAACTTATAAACGATTGATAATGTTGCAGGTGACAGTGATAATTTGTTGATTATGGGGATGGGTGTTTGCTCTTTTGGCTCTTAAGCTTTCTTCAGATGCTAAAAGGTTTTACACTAAAGTATATGACACTGCATAAATTGGTTTTGGAGATAAGCGTGAAAATTCCAAAATGCTACTTCAATCACCCACATCATTGTTAGGATTGAATATACATGAACATAAATATTACGGACACATATCATTATGGCCGAGAGATTTTAAGCACTCACCTTTACGGATGAGTGAATTCCATCTCGGTCGGCGTGGGATCAGGTCTCTCGGCTAGCGTGAGTATATTAGTAAGCTTCCAGTAATTTTCCCTTAGATTTGTTTTTTCCCCTGCAGTCTTCCTGTGTTATTACCCCGCCAAATATACTGACCAGAATGTGTATCCTATGGCGTTTAATTGACAATTTAAGTCCAAAATGAAGTACAATGCTGTTAAAAAGATTCATGTATAAAAACAATACATTAAGATAAGGCAGTTGTAAATTTCAGCTTTTCATGAACAGGAAGAACTAAAATTTTAAACAGCAAGTTCTTACGAACTCACGGTGTCTCGGCATATGATATTTTCCATTGATGCATTATTATAAGCTAAAAGAGTGTTTACATTAAAAAGTGGTTGTTATGAAATGGTCAGTTAATTTATTGGTCAGTAGAATTAGTGCTAATTGCAACACTTAATTATATATTGAGCTAACATTGCATTATTCTCAATTGTCATATTACCACAGGCAGATCATAGATCAATTGCTAAATAACGATAATGGTTACCTATAACACACACGCACAGCTTGTAAGTTATCTATTGGTGTGTTTTAAACTTCAATACATAGTTGATAAACCGTAAACATACATGGCTCCATAGCTCAGTTGGTTAGAGCGCCAGTCTCGTAAACTGGAAGTCGAGAGTTCGACTCCCTCTGGAGCCAAAGATTTTTAATCTTTGACTTGTTCTGATTGTACCAATTTATTTTGAGTTTCCATGACTTATAGTGTGAAAGCACCTGGTAATAGCTAATTTTGCGTGGGCACTGATTTTTGAACTATTTGTTATAACGTTGTGATATATATATATATATATATATATATATATATATATATATATATATATATATATATATATATGCACGGATTATTTTATTCTCTACACGAGAAAAATAATATTTGTTAATGAATTCGATTCCTATCAATGCTGCACGTGCAGTTGGCCAAAATTCCAACGCCAATAGTAGACCAGCTTGCAATCAAGGAAACAGTTATAGTAATGGGGAAAATAGTGCATGAGCCCTTCGCAGCTTTGGACAAAATTTCTAGTCGTATACTGCCTATTTATGCAGTCGAGCCGAAATTTGCAGAGTTGTACGAGTTGACCTGATCAGTTAAAGAATCAGCATGTGGCAATTATCACTAGGACCATACCCTCAAGCACTGACATTTCTATTGTTATTTTAGAGTGGAACTTCTATCGACGGTTCAGTGTAGATAGTACCCTGGTTAACTCAACTCGTCATATTTATTTATGACAGACAATTTACAAATTAGTTCTTCGAGGAGTTTCTAAAGCAATAACAAATTTCATAAAACAAAAACAAAGGCAGCTCAATAGCTCAGTTGGTTAGAGCGCCAATCTTGTAAACTGGAGGTCGAGATTCCTACTGGAGCCATTGTTTTTCAGATTTAAGCAATCTTCAGTTTTGGGGATCTTGATGGGTTCGAAATGACCTTCAGTGTAGACGCATCAAACAGAATCACAAGATTCAAAATCTTGACATATGACTAAAGTTTGACAGAATGTTATTTTCTTTCTTTGTTTAACACGGAATAAAGTACCCGTTTTCGAATCATAATCCATAAAGACCCATTAAGCTTGTGATGTAGGTAATGTGAATCTGGAACGGACAGGTATAACACTTAAATACAGCAAACCCTCATTAATCTCTTTCTTCATCAACATTGCTTCAATTCAGTTTTCTTTTTCATACCATTGCTTCGGACATTTCACTCCCTGTCTGACCTTCAAATCTCCGTCAAAAAATATTCTTTCTTTATTGAATGCTGTTTTGCACATTCAAAAAATAAACATGAATCAATTAGAAAGTTGTAAAAAAGAAAGAATAATCTAATTTATGCTTATTTCAAACGCGATAAGGAAAATACGCTCAAATTTGCATTGTAGTACTACATCTAACTCATCTTCGATATACAAACACGTAGCTGTCCTGAAACGATTAAAATGAGTCTTTTTTATTTCTATTCATGCTAACTCTGACATAACAAAAGGTTCCATCTAATGCATCAATAAATCCATCAACGCTAATCGCAGAGCTAAAACTTAACGTGACAAGGTTCACGCACTGTTTGGTCCAATATGATGCCAGGAGATTATTGGTTATAATTATTCTTCAATAATGTAACAATTTACAAGATGTCTTAAGCCATTTCAATGATATTTGAATCTAGGTCATTTAGCAATATTTTTGTACTATTTAAGTTCCCAGAACAATTGCTTTAATTCCATAAAAGAGTTAGAAAATTTGCTTAATATTTTTACCCTCCCGGTTAACTACACGTCTGAATAACCACTGTGGCTATTTGCAAATCTAATGATTGTTTATTCATGTTTTAATCAAATGTCCTGTCTTCTTTTGCACATACAAACTCGATGTCTCTATTTATGCACAAACGAAGAACTTTTTGTTTTCATGCCTACCATTTGCAATAGCTTCAAGGGAAACAGTCAAGTGTTATGATGAAATATTAACGTCACCAAGTGAAATCGCCAGAGCTGTATGATGTTCCTCACTGTACATGAAAACAGACACTCTTCTTCTTCCAAACAATACTCTGTTTATTCTGTAAGTTCTTAGAGTTCTCGGATTAAAAATGTTTGGACTGTTGGTCTTTGATGAAATGTTGTACTCAAGACACTCCTTCTTAAGAATTTATCCATTAAGGTATATGCTTGACCATGATGTAGATCGGCGTTACGCTTTAAGGTTGCTTCAAATCTCTAACAATAAAAGAAAGCCTTTTGATTTACATTGGGGAAAATATACTTAATTATGTATGTTTTATCTGATATGTGCGTGAAAATTAGAACATGTACTATGCGGCTGTGTTATCTTTGCAGGAGATGGTAAGTGCACTATTTAATTGTTAAACCTAACATATTCTACGTTAATCCCGTTATATAAACTGCTTATTAATGTTGAATTATTTTTGTAGACACCGTATAGTGAAAATTTGGGTTGCCACGAATACATGATTTGCCTCTAAAACAGAGACAGTACTAACAAAGCAATCCTAGAAAACATTCTTTGGTTAAACATCGTGCTTAATATAGTCTCAAAATATCCATCTGTGCATGAAGCTATCGTATGTGCAATTTACAGATTTCAAAGAATGTAAACAAACGATGTACAACTCGATGTTAACTATGCTTTACATATACACATGCCGCAAGTGAATTGTACATATCAATAGATCCAAAGAAATCTTTTCCCAAAACTAAATAGTTTTAAATCATGTAGAATTTGTAACACTGTATATATTTCGTTGTGTCCTGGCTTCCAAACATGGTGTCACGAGTGTAAAACTCGCTAAAGTCGCGGCGGCATCTAATTTTAAATACGTTTCTGTCTTTTGGATATTCAGACTCTCTTTTAAACCCCCTCATTCCAAATTTTCAATTGTTACGATCCTGTAGTTGAAGTGTGTGTGTATGTCTGTGTGTGTGTGTGTGTGTGTGTGTGTGTGAATAAAGGAATCAATTCTGTATAAATCTTTATATTTCATTTTATTCCATTAAATATAATTATTGATAAGAATATATCAGCATCAGTCTAATATTTTGCTAGAAACATGTTTACTTATGTCATAAATGTGACTCATGTGAGCATTTGCTGTGTATGATGGCAAATTTTAGTTACGAGTAAACATTTAGGAATAGCTATGAAAATTATTGGCTGATACTTTGTCAGGCTTTCCTAATGCCCAGATGTATTGCGAAATTGCATGCGTCCTTAGTGCGCGTAATTCAAACGACGTATTAGTTTTGTTTATATGCTTAGGTATTTTGTAAGACAATCACAGTCAGAGTCAGATTAACAGCCAGAATAAAGAACAGAGACGTAGATTATTGTAGCATCTTAGAGTTACACCACTTCTATTACCTTGAAAAGTTTTTTTTGTGCTAGAAGTTGTCTGTTCGTATGTCTACGTAGAACAACACGCATCTTGTTAGTGGAGCTAATTGTACTTCATTTTTCTAAATAATTGTTTAACTGGAGAACAACATTACTGGTTTGGACAAAGACATTTTTCAGAAAATATTCTAAATTGGAACGGAACAATACAAACTGTGCTTTACTGTGTAAATTTTGGATATGTGTGTGAGCCTTCCTCTGACGTCATCATCCGCCAACTTGGACCGATCTGAACTTCAGACTGTGCTTGTTTAAAAATACTCACAGGACTTGTTATATATCTTTAGAACAAACAATTTGGATCGTTTCCGTAAATCGTAAGTCTTAACATATTTACATTACTTCATGTTCTCTAGAAAAATAAATTATTTTTGTTAAAATTTACAAAGCTTGTTGTGTTCACTCTTTCTTTGTGTTACTTTGAACAATCCGATATGCAACATAATTTTGTTTTACTTTTTGTATTCCCGTTTTAGGACAGGTAATTAACATAGTTATAAGACATTTTCATTCCAAATATATATTAGTTGGACTGTTTACATTTATCATAAACAAATATTATTTCCTTTCACTTTTACCACTTAGCTAATTTAATAAGGTTTATGCAGTATTCGACATACTTTGCCCTTGGTGGCATTGAAGTCTGTATACATCAGCTGATTTTGGACCAGACCGGCTGTTTTGAAATAGCATGGATATGTCTCAGATTTGTTCAGTTTTTGTGGAAGTTATGAAAATTATGGAATGTCAGTATTTTATATTTATTAAAAATAAATACAATGTATGTTTTATGTTATGTTCCTTTGAAATTATATGACACAAATAGATTACGTAATTATCGTAGAAAATTTAAAGGTTCTAGTATTTCCAAGGACAGTTTGTTTTATGTGTCCTTATTTAGCACAAGTGTTCTAAACTTATAAACCAAAGATCACGGTGATATTGGCTCAATCGCTGAATGACTGTAGTTAATCGTTTTTAAATATTTTGTTCTGGCAGATTGATACTATATATTCGCGGAGTATTAATTTGTGGGGTTATGTAGTGTGCAAATACCAGGGCTTGAAGAGTCTTTTAGACCCAATTCTTAAGTATGTGCTATGATCAAAGCAATATAAAAAAGATAAGCTTCAGCTAAGGTCAATCTCCACCCATTCCACCACAGCCATAAGTATTGCGTGGCCATTACTCAATTATATGAAGTATCGCAAATATGGTTTTGCTGAATTTTCTTGATTTAGTTGCACGCTTGAGTTTACACAGACAAGACACATATTCTTCTCGTTATGGATACGTGTAACGCACCATTCATGGTAATATTTGTTTCAGTTTCATTTTTAATGTTCTTATATCGCATGACCATATTGCTACCAAAATAGCATGTATTGCAGCTGACCGTCTGAGCTAAAGGAGTTAGCACATTGACAGAGTGAATTTGAAATTAGCATTGGATTATCATACGGATAGATGAAATTTGAAATTAGCATTGGATTATCATACGGATAGATAGAATTTGAAATTGACCTTGGATTATCATACGGATGGATGGAATTTGAAATTGACAATGGATTATCATACGGATAGATGGAATTTTGAAATTGACAGTGGATCAGGATATTGATAGAGGCAATTTGAAATTTTCAGTGGATTAGTTTGTCTGTTTTTTATTTTGCGAAGCACACACAAGAAATGATGTTAGTTGGATTCATTTAAATCGACACGTGTATCAGGACTTCAAAATCCTAACTTCTTTCGGGGACAGTTGTTATGTACATTAAATTTTTATTGTCATCTTGACGTCTGTGCGTAATTGAGAATAGGCCTTTGGAAGTACCTGGCTAATGTAATTTTCTCTCAAAAATACGTTTACTTGGAAATGAGCGCAGGACCATGGTTTGACCCTTGAAAAGTGCATTGTCTACATGATTGTAGACATGTTTAAAAGTTATAAATAGTTATTTACTGATATCTTAGTTATATGTTTAGACTTAGAATGTTTCAGAAACAAACTTCCAACACTCTTATTGGTTATTTGCTTAAGTTTTAAAATGTTTCATTTGATTCTGATAAACATAATAAATTCATTCCTCCTTCAACCTTGGTCTCTGTAATTATTTAGTGTTGTGCTCAGATTGAATTTGTTAGGAATCTTTTATTGAAGAAATAAGTCGCTGGAATTACAAAGTACTCTTTGTCATTTTGGACTAAATCACCCTTTTGAGATTATAGATCCAAAGACATCCTAGGTTATATCATGGTGAGATACCAATACTGTAGGTAGATCATCTCATCCTTAGACAATTGGTACACACATTCAATATTGTATTTTCACTCGGAACGCTCTATACATTTGGACTTGTGATATAAGGTTTAGTAGTATATGTGATTTAATTCACAATACTATTCAAGTTCCTCTTGCATTTTGACCTTTTAACTTTGGTAAAATCAACAAATACAATTATTTTCTAAGTTAAAAGGTCAAACTTGTTGGTTTATCTTGTTTGTTACTTAGTTTAAGACCAATTGATCGCAACACAAATGTTTGCTTAGCATTTGTTAAATGCCAATAGATATGTAGTTTAGGAAACTTTTAGAAATTGGCTTTTTAAGACAAGTTAGGTAGCTCTTACTTCCTATGATTGCTGATCAAACTCGACGTTTGAGACATGCAATTGTTAATTGCCGGTGATATTTAAGACAGGTTATTGTTCACAAGCTAACCATAACATTGACCAATGTAAAGATGTACAAAAGTTTCAATAATTTTGACTAAGATTAGGAGTGACGTGGTTGCCACGATTGCCATGGATCTTTTAATGATCTTCCGAATTGTTTTTAGAAGCACTCTAGCTTTAACTATCTGCAAGACTTTGGCGTGTTTCCCAAATAACTATTGTTTTCCTGGCCTTCTGAATCTGTAATTAAAGAATGGACTTTTGAAATCATTACAATGTGCCACTAATTTATACAAAAAGTTGACGTTTGAAAAGATGCTATTGTGGCTGATAGATTTTTTCTATGGAGATAAAGAATTTTTGCTTAAAGTGAAGAGTTTTAATTAATTTAATAACGTTATTGTAATAACTTTATTCACTAGATTTGACAGTGTTCATGAGAATGCTTGGACAAAGGCAGTTATTAAAAATTATTTGGAATTATGAAGCTGAAATATCATTATTTTATTTATTTATTATTAATAATACATTGCTAATACTTTTATATTTTAATTCATGGATTCATGATGGGATTAGTTCATAAACAGTATTTTAAAAAAATATTTTTCCTTGTTTTCTAGGGAAATAAATTATTTTATGAAAGTTTAAAAGGCTTCTTGGCTTCTCTTTTGTTACTGTTATACAAGCCTAGACAAGTAACATTATTATTCTAATTTTAATTGATAAAATGGAGTTTTTAATAAACAAAAACAACGCGCTGAATCCAATTTTGTGCTACAACATATTCACGTTTGTTGAAGTTGCAAAAATACTTCATTACCAACATTGTAAAAATAATATTCATTGGATATGTTTTTAAACAACTCACAACTATTGAATATTTGAATAGATTTATATTTAAGGTTCGACGACTACACATCGACTGAGTAACCCCTCCTCTCTTCTTATCAACTTCAAAACAAAATTGAAAACAATAAAACACAAGAGTTAAAAACAGATAGACATCTATTGCTGCTAGAACTACTATTACTATTACTATCGGTAGTACTGGCATAGGGTACAGGAAATATCCTCCATCGAGTGTGTTTGTGTTTGTGTGTGCTTAACAAACTCAATTCTTCGAATCAACAAGATATAGTAAATATGTAATATTTATATTATATTTTCCGCAAGATGTACATTTAAATTCCAAAATATGGTGATGTGAATTATCTTGTACAATATTATGCTACTAAAACATTCAAGAGGTGCATATAATACAGGTCGCTTGAATGCAAAACTCTTATTTGCGCACAGATTTCATTCGTAAATTAATCTCGACTTGTTAAATAAATCTGAAGCTATCGTTACATGCGGTTGATGTATTCTCATTCATCTGTTGTTTCTCCTTTGTTGGTCAATTCAGGCTCCCGGCCTTCAAACTAAATGATCAAGGATGAAATTAAACATTCAACCGCAGCATTATTATTGACAACCTTAGGGAGTGGAGTCACTAATGTTGGTGTCACTCGGTGCGGTAACTCATTCAGTCATCCCTATGTACCTCCTTCCTGCACAAAACTTCAAAACTTGAATAGACAATCATTTTGGTGTCACCCTCTCTGATGGTGTCACCCGGTGTGGTCAACACCTATGCACCCTACACCACTGATCACACGTAAAACAAGAATATATAACCAACATATTTCTAAGTCTCTACTTTAATGCGTATTAAATAAACAAAATATTACCTCAATCATAAAATAAGCAAACAAATTAATATTTATTTTCGAGGCCGCCATAGCAGTAATTTAAACTATTACAAATCACGCTCAAATATTGCTGGTAAAAGGGAGCTCATGAAAAACAAAATAATAAAAACCCACACATAAACATAATTAGAAAATAATGTCCTCGTGGTCTTTCTAATCCCCAGATTCGTATGTGAGGTTCATAATTTCATTAGAAGGTAATCTTAAATATCTAATTATGTTCATTCGGCTGCCATGTATACCCACTCAAAATGCATAAACGGTTTCTGGCTCTAACCCAGAAAAGATTGAAATGTTTAAATTCAAACTACCAACTCAATATTTTGATTTTCAAGAATAAATCTATGGTTGCAATTGTGTGTTGATATTTAAGGGAATAACTGTCTAGTTCAGTCCGTGTGAATTCAAGCAACACAAGACAAGCAACACACTATGTGAGATTACCTTTATGTTAGCATATCAAATTAAGGTACATTAGAATCATTTCTATCGATCCGTAAATTACCAAATATAGAATTCTATTTTAAATATTCAAAATTACCGATGAGCACAGAAACGTTGATATTAGTTACGAAAGATTTACAGCATAAACTTTGAATGTCTAGATAAAATCTTTCGCGGCAAATAGGTTTACTGTAAACAAGGTGAAAAATATTTAACTCTCAGCCTATCGTGTGCTGAAAAAGCCCCAAAACAAAAACAACAACAAATCTAACTCTCAGAATGAGATTTACATTGTTTACCGAATATAAATGCAAAAATATCAATTGACATTACTTGTATTTTTTAATTCCATAATCCTAAGTCCGATTTAATCATTTATGCATTACGAATTTGAGCAAATATTAACCAAAACTATTATCAAAACCAATGAAAGTCGATAATCAAAATAAATATTCAAGGAGGAAACATAATTCCCGTCATTTTTTTATGAGATTATCGCATAATCAAGTTAATCTCCAAAGTTGGAACTGTACTTAGAAAACCAAATTGAGACCTCAAACTGTACATTTCATTGATCCCAAACTGTACATTACATTGAACTAAAGTTGTACATTACATTGAGAAGCAAACACAGAATAGCACTATTACAACCTGTGTTGGTCTACCTTTCCATTTTCTCCTCATCATAAATCTTTTGCCAGCCATTTGGCTAGTACAAAATACATAATCATATCAATACTTGCAAGTTTGGCTCGATAGGACAATTTCTGTCGAATGATAAAAATAAAATGAAACAAAAATTTAGCATTTGAAATGTATTTTGCAATAAGGGAGACACTATTCCAACAAAACGGTTGCTCAGAGCTTGTCATGACGCACGGAGTTTCGGTGGACCAGGCAACCTGTCGAAAACTGTTGTCTTGATATCAGCCCTTTAATATTGGTTGTTTGAAAATTAGATTTTGTTATACTCCAAGTTACTTTACTCTCAGTCTGCATACATTTTTTTATTTATGCTTGTTTTCGTGTTCAAGATGGAATTAAAATAAAGTGGGGACAAGCCTTGAACTTACTTTTATGATTGATTGGATTATTCTATGTTTAGAATAAAGGTGTTAGCAGCAAAATGCTCAGAACTTCAAACAAAAAAAAAGGAAAGTCTCCAGTAGTATTCGAACCTGCGACCTCCAGTTTATAGGACTTGGGCTCTAACCAACTGAGATATGGAACCTCAGTTGCCATATGCCAAAACATATGTTGAATGAAAAATAATTTTGAATGCGATCTCCATATTCTGTTAATAGCAAAAGGGCAAATTGGGCTTGGGCTATCATGTTTTATTCATCCTATATCATATTGCTACGTATCGGCTCGTTCAAAGTAACACAAAGAAAGAGTGAAGACAAAAGCCTTTGTAAACTTTAGCAAAAATAATTTATTTCCCTGCAAAAACGGTGAAAGGTAAATATATTAAACAAAATGTACTATTTACGAAGACAATCCAACATTTCTTCTAAAGTTGTGAAAACACAAGTCCTGTGAATAGTCAGTTTTAAATTGATATAGTCTGAATCTCAGTTCTGGTCCAAGATGGCGGATCGTGTCGAATGGCGAATCAAATGAAATTGACAGAAAGGAAATAACTATGGTAGTTTTCCATTCCAACGCATGCATTTGTATATGGAGTGTAAATGAATAAAATTAAAGATCTAATCTGGAATCTTCAAATAAGTCAGAAAATCAGATTATGCGTGCATTTCTGGCGCAAATAGAACAAGAGTATTGTGCTCAATCTGGTTTAAGACATTGGAATGTTTTGCACGGTCAAGTGCATTGGCATCCGATTATGACGTCTCTCGATATTACCACGTCTACAAAATACTCTTCTTCTTTTGTATGTATGTATGTATGTGTTTTATTGATTGAGTAATTGCCTTACATTTTTATTTTTCGTCGATGAGTATTGTACAGTTAGTCAGATAAATACAAGGAAGAACAGCCGAGATCTTAACTGCTGACTGAGAAAAGAAACCATGAAGTATTAAATAGATAATCCAATTGTTAACAAGATTATGTGGATGCTGCGCATCCAGCACAGAATTAATCGGGAACATTTCTGGCGTACATGCAAAAATGAACAGGCGATTTCTTATTCTATAACTTGAGGATATCAAATGAGACAGAAGACTGGAGTACAGGAGCTTACATACTATCATTAAGCATACATTTTAAATGAGAATTAGGGGTACATAATGCATTGAATGTGATGATGTTGGCCTTTCAAATGTATCTTGTGCACCTTCTCCACACGGAGGAGATGAAAATACATAACATGGTCATTGCTAATAAGAGCTAGTAAGTCTCGGGACATCTTTCCTAGAAGAATATTTACAAATATACTATCAGACAATGAATATAAGTAGATGTAAACTTGTACTACGAATTGATCAATAATGTGGCACCAAGACCTTTTCCAGTCTGGGGTACGGAAACTACATATTCCTATGAAACTACAAAACAACAAAAGTAGACAACATGTGACACTAAGTATAAACATAATCATCCGCAGATGGAGACATGTTGGATACAATATTGGCAACAATTCTACATGATCAGAGGGAAGCCTGACACATCCTACGAGCTTTCTATAACATAGACGGGATCAAATTGCCATGAAGCAAAAGCTTCTGCAATCTATTGAGCGATGCGTCTTGACTCAATGTACACTTCAAATCAGTTTGATATGAAAATATACTTCGTATTTAACAATCAGTTTATGGTTTCATTAGTTTTGGAAGAGCATTAACAAAATCCACATTTGACAATGACTTTAAATACATGTAAACTTGTACTCCGATTCGGCCAATAATGTGGCACTAAAGCCTATTCCGGTCTGGTGTAAGGAAGCTATATGTTCCTATGAAATGATTGAAAACAGAAGTATGCAACATAGGACAGCAGGTACAAACTGCATCACTCGCCCATGAAAACAACATGGACACGATAATAGCAACAATTCGACATGATTCAAGAGAAGCTGGAACCATCCTAGAAACTTCCCATAATACCCACGGGATCAAACTGCCATGACGCAATAGCTACTGAAATCTATTAGGCGATCCAGTTTTTGCATTAGGAATTGAGCTTGATTTATAAATGATTCAATAGACCTATGTTACAGCACATGCCACCTACAAAAAGAATAGAAAATATCATTCAAGTATTTGTTTTAAGAAATTTGGTTTATTGTGCATGAGGATGGTAAGTGGAGATAAATACATTTATCCCGCTTTCTTACACCCTTATCATAGGGGACAAATGTCAAGTCACATTTTCCTTGAAGCAACATAATTATCAAGCAATTTTCTTACCGCAGTCCCATGACCAGCACCCTTCAGAATCCCCGATGGAATGACAACCACTGCTCATGCTATACTGTTCATACAGACAAGTAGGAAACTAACCAGTCAGAAAGTTAATTATCACTTGTCATATAACAGAACAACTGAGCCTGAGCAGTAATCGGGGTAGCTTCATTGCTCAGAGTGAACAAAATTCTAACAGGTGGTCCTAGTTCAAGGTTGCTTAATTTGCTAAATATGTGTAAAATGAGAATAACACAGTAATTGCAACTGATGACTATTTCGCTCATCAATGAACATTAATTGCATAAAATACTAAAATATCCACCTCTACCCAATTATAACATGAATATATAAAAATATAAAATGTGTGATCCTGCTACACTTACTTAAGTACAATTTTCAAGAAATCTATAAATGTCAGGAAAACCAGTTTCTTTTGTTATGAAACTTGGGTTTTGACAGCTGAAGAGGCAAAGTAAAATACATGTTGTTTGTAAAATGTCGCAGTCAAAATGCAGTTGCTATAGAAAAACAACTTATTCATATTTATGTAAACTTCAATGGACAAAACATAGTGTAAATTCAGTGCAATGTCATTGGGTGTATACCTAGAAAGTCCTTGTTTGATGCAAGAAAGATGACCTCTCTTTTTAACGTATATGCTGAGCACTAAGGATATAATGAAAGTATCTCCTGAACGCTTTTCTTGCAATAGGTTTCACAACGATACAAAAGGCGGGTAATGCCATAGATTTATACAGTATGTTCTCTGTGAGTGGACTGAAGCCATTCCCATTATTTGTAACACCAGAAATGCCGAAAAAATCTTACTAGTGTATCTATGGCATGTATGATGCTGATATAATTTTTCCGTAGTTAGATGTATTGATGCCTAAATGCATACACGGTTCTGCTTCTGGTACAGCATAAGATTCAGGAACAAACGGCTGTGTCTTATTTGTAAGTTAGATGAGCTTTCATTAAAAGCAATAATACTAATGTTATTAGAACTGTATATGTATCCCCACTTTATAGAGTACTTGAAACTTATCTTCCGCTGGAGATCCATGCATAAGTTTGAAAACCTCAGGAGAAGTATGTCATCATTTAGTGTCGGAGAAGGACAGGGATTGTTGAAGAATACAAAACCAAAGTTTCACGTTGTTAAAATATCTAACAGATCCTTGTAAAGGCAGAGGATAATATTCCACCTTTCAGTGTTCATAAAGACAATGTAAAGCCAGTGGATAATATTACACCTTTCCCTGTTCATAAAGACAATGTAAAGCCAGAGGATAATATTCCACCTTTCCGTGTTCATAAAGGCAATGGAAAGCCAGAGGATAAAATTCCATCTTTCTGTGTTCATAAAGACATTGTAAAGGCAGAGGATAATATTCCACCTTTCTGTGTTCATAAAGACAATGTAAAGCCAGAGGATAATATTCCATCTTTCCGTGTTCATAAAGACATGGTAAAGCCAGAGGATAATATTCCACCTTTCCGTGTTTATAAGGACAATGTAAAGCCAGAGGATAATACTCAATCTTTCCGTGTTCATTAAGACAATGTAAAGCAGGAGGATATTATTCCATCTTTCTGTGTTCACAAAGACAATGTAAAGCCAGAGGATAATATTCCACCTTTCTGTGTTCAAAAAGACAATGTAAAGCCAGAGGATAATATTCCACCTTTCTGTGTTCATAAAGACAATGTAAAGCCAGAGGATAATATTCCATCCTTCCGTGTTCATAAAGAAAATGTAAATCCAGAGGATAATATTCCACCTTTCCGAGTTCATAAAGACAAAGTAAAGCCAGAGGATAATATTCCACCTTTACGTGTTCATAAAGATAATGTAAAGCCAGAGGATAATATTCCACCTTTCCGTGTTCATAAAGACAATGTAAAGCCAGAGGAAAATATTCCACCTTTCTGTGTTCATAAAGACAATGTAAAGCCAGAGGATAATATTCCATCTTTCTATGTTCATAAAGACAACGTAAAGCCAGAGGATAATATTCCATCTTTCTGTGTTCATAAAGACAAAGTAAAGCCAGAGGATAATATTCCACCTTTCCGTGTTCATAAAGACACTGTAAAGCCAGAGGGAAATATTCCACCTTTCCTTGTTCATAAAGACAATGTAAAGCCAGAGGATAATATACAATCCTTATAGGTTCATAAAGACAATGTAAAGCCAGAGGATAATATTCCATCTCTCCATGTTCATAAAGACAATGTAAAGCCAGAGGATATTATTCCATCTTTCTGTGTTCATAAAGACAATGTAAAGCCAGAGGATAATATTCCATCTTTCCGTGTTCATAAAGTCAATGTAAAGCCAGAGGATAATATTCCACGTTTCCTTGTTCATAAAGACAATGTAAAGCCAGAGGATAATATTCCACCTTTCCTTGTTCATATAGAGAATGTAAAGCGAGAGGATACTATTCCATCTTTCTGTGTTCATAAAGACAATGCAAAGCCAGAGAATAATATTCCATCTTTCCGTGTTCATAAAGTCAATGTAAAGCCAGAGGATAGTATTCCACCTCTCCTTGTTCATAAAGACAATGTAAAGCCAGAGGATAATATTCTAACATTCCGTGTTCATAAAGACAATGTAAAGCAAGAGGATATTATTCCATAGTTCTGTGTTCATAAAGACAATGTAAAGCCATAGCATAATATTCCACCTTACCGTGTTCATAAAGACAATATAAAGCCAGAGGATAATATTCCATCTTTCCGTGTCCATCAAGTCAATTTAAAGCGAGAGGATAATATTACATCCAACAGTGTTCAAAAAGACAATGTAAAGCCATAGGATAATATTCCATCTTTCCGTGTTCATAAAGACAAT